GTACCCCTTATCGGACCCTCCCCACACGCTCGCTCGACAGGCACAGACGCACAGGCTCTGGGCACCTGGTCCTCACAGACACTGTCGTCTCCTAAATACACACTCACTAGTCTCTCCTTACAGCAAACATGCCTGAGGAGAGTCCTCCGTGCCACACGGTCCCCTCTCGTTGCTGTTTTAGACAGAAAGTGTAACAATTAACAGCACAATGGGCTACACCAGACGGATGGGGTTCATGTCCTGGCTCCACTTCCCAACAGCTGTGTGACCTTGGGCACGTCACTTAACCTCTCTGTGCCTCCGTTTCCTCATCTGTAAAAGGGTAACAGTAATGGCTACATCACAGGGTTGAGAGGAGTAATCTGTAATACACACGCCTGACACTATCACAGGCACACACACCCACTGCTCATGTCCACACGCTTGTTGACACCCTTGCCTGCACACACACTCTGGGTGGACATCCACTCGTGTGGTCCCTGTTGGCCCCGGGAAGTCACGCTCCTCATGCCCCAACCTGTTTCCATCAGCTCAGGTCAGATCGTGGGATTCACGGAGCCCATCTCTGTCCCACCCATTGTTGCCTCATCCCCAGGTGGGAACGTTCTTTCCCTGACAACATCACACAAGTCCCCCTTTGTTCTTGGTGCTCCCATTACCTGGGAACCCCATCCTCTCCCCTGCCATCAGAACAAACTTATCTCTGGACTTCAAAGTGTGAGATCTTGTTCTGAGCCAGCCACCTCCTCCATGCCCACAGCCACGTCTCCCCACCACACCTGCCCAAAGCTACATCCATGGGTTCTCAGAGAACTTTAACCAAATAAAGGAATCTGTAGACAATCAAAGGTCACCAAGCCGAGCTCTTAAGGGTGGGTGGTGCATGTGCCTTGGGTGTGCCTTTGGAGCTTGGCGACTCTGGCAGACTTCTTGGTGCTGTCTGAGCTGGAGGCCCCAGGCCTGCATGGAGAGGCTGCATAACCTCCAGACCAGCCAAGGGAGGGGTCTGCTCTCTGATCCTGCCTCTGGCCTTGAGTGCTAGACTACAGGACGGGCCTCCATGGAGAAGCCCAGCGCCTCCAGCTCCAGGTGAGTGCCTGCTCACTGACAGGTCACCTGGGCCACCCGGGAATCAACAGGTCTCCCCTCTCTGGGGCTGAGGATCCTCCTCACCCTGCTGACTCCCCAGGTTAGAGCCCTTGGTCCCTGTCCTGCCCCCTCCTCACCCCAGACTCAGGATTCCAGGGACTCTCCCCAGGGAGGGCTTTGGGAGTCCCTTCCCCACCAGAGGTCAGCCCCAGGGAAACCTCTTTTATGAGCTCAGATTCACCCCCTGGTGCCAGGCCCCCCAGGCTGGGCCCCACCCCAAGCCTGTGGCAGGGAATTCAGTACTACAGCCAGGCCTGAGCCCTCCTTGGGATGTTCCCTCCGGATGCCCTCAGGGAAGGTGGGAATGGAGAGAAGAGTAGGGCCCTTGTAGGCCTGTCTTGGGGGTTTGACTTGATGTGACCAGGTGTGTGGAAGGGAGGAAGCACGAGGGGAAGTTTCTTCCTGGAACTGGACCCTCTGGCACCTTCTCCGTGGTGGGCCAGTGACCGTCATGGAGACCCCCCCCACTTCACCACCCAGGAAGTGGTGAGCTTGGAGACAAATGCAGACCACCCACTGCCAAGACGCCCCAACCAGCAGTGGGTGTGGGTGTTCTGAGGCCTCTCCTCAATGTAGAGCACAGTGCTCTGGCCTGGGGTCACCTGGGCGGGGGTGGGGGTGGGGGTGGTTGGGTGCACGTGCTGACCCTACCCGTCTGCCCCCAGCCCAGGGCACTGTGCTGTGGTCACCCGAGAGCTGCTCCTGGCTGCATTCGAGGACTTAAGCCAGGAGCAGCTGAAGCGCTTCCGCCACAAGCTGCGGCATGCGCCAGAAGGCAGCCGCAGCATCCCGTGGGGGCGTCTGGAGCACGCTGACGCCGTGGACCTGGTAGAGCGGTTGGTGGAGTTCTATGGGCCTGAGCCCGCGCTGAAAGTGGCCTACAAGGCCCTGAAGAGGTCTGACGTGCGAGACGTGGCGGCGCGACTCAAGGAACAGCGGTTGCAGAGTGAGCGCAGAGGGGAGGGGCATTGCCGGGGTTCCAGTACCTCCATTCCCTTCCCGCCCGTCCTGCGAGTCCAGGTCACCCCAAGCGTCCTTTTCCACTCCTGGCAAAGCGCTGGCGCAAACTCGCAGCTACTGGGGCTGGGATCCTGAGGGTGGCCCCATCCCGCTACCTAGCCCTCCCACCCTCTGTACAATCTGCGGAGCCTTACAACAGGTCTTCCTTCCAGAACTCGGCCCTGGCCCCTCGGCGCAGCTCTCCGTGTCCGGTAGGTCTCGCCCCAGCCTCAGAGCACAAGAGTCCCCGACGCCACTAGCGAGTCCCGGCAGCTGGTCCCAGGCGTAGGGGCGGGCGCTCGGAAAGCAGGGGAGCTGGGGAGACTGAGGCCTGAGCCTGCGGGGAGGGCATGGGCCCCGAGGGTCGGCTGACACTGCCTGCCCCGTCCCCGCGTCCTCGTGTCCCTGCCCCCTCCCAGAGTACAAGAAGAAATACCGCCAGCACGTGCTGCAGCTGCACGCCAAGGTGAAGGAGAGGAACGCCCGCTCCGTGAAGATCACCAAGCGCTTCACCAAGCTGCTCATCGCGCCGGAGAGCCCCGACCTGGAGGACGAGGAGCTGGGGCCCGCGGAGGAACCAGCGCCCCAGCGCGCACGGCGCTCCGACACTGACACCTTCAACCGGCTGTTTGGCAGAGACGAGGAGGGCGGGCGGCCGCTGACCGTAGTGCTGCAGGGCCCGGCGGGCATTGGCAAGACCATGGCTGCCAAGAAGATCCTGTACGACTGGGCGGCCGGCAAGCTGTACCACGGCCAGGTGGACTTCGCCTTCTTCCTGCCGTGCCGCGAGCTTCTGGAGCAGCCGGGCGAGCGCTGTTTGGCCGACCTGATCCTGGATCAGTGCCCCGACCGCGGCGCGCCGGTGCGCCAGATGCTGGCGCATCCCGAGCGGCTGCTCTTCATCCTGGACGGCGCCGACGAGCTATTGGCGTTGGGGTCCGCCGAGGCCGCGCCCTGCGTCGATCCCTTCGAGGCAAGCGGAGGGGCGCAGCTGCTGGGCTCGCTGCTGAGCAAGGCTCTGCTACCCGACGCCCGCCTGCTGGTGACAACGCGCGCCGCCGCGCCCGGGAGGCTGCAGGGCCACCTGCGCTCGCCACAGTGCGCCGAGGTGCGCGGCTTCTCAGACAAGGACAAGAAGAAGTTCTTCTACAAGTTCTTCGGAGACGAGCGCAGGGCAGAGCGCGCCTACCGCTTCGTGAAGGAGAACGAGACGCTATTCGCGCTGTGCTTCGTGCCCTTCGTGTGCTGGATCGTGTGTTCCGTGCTGAGCCAGCAGCTCAAGTGCGGCCAGGACCTGTCGCGCACCTCCAAGACCACCACGTCGGTGTACCTGCTCTTCATCGTTAGCCTGCTGGGCTCGGCGTCCCCCGCCAACGGGGCCTACGTGCAGAGCGAGGTGCGCAAGCTGTGCCGCCTGGCCCGCGAAGGCGTCCTGAGGCGCCGGGCGCAGTTCTCAGAGAAGGACCTGGAGCGACTGGAGCTGCGCGGCTCGGTCGTGCAGACGCTGTTTCTCAGCAAGAAGGAGATGGCGGGCGTGCTGGAGGCCGAGGTCGCCTACCAGTTCATCCACCAGAGCTTCCAGGAGTTCTTCGCAGCGCTGTCTTACCTGCTGGAGGAGGAGGGGCCCCCCGAGGAGCCGGCTGGCGGCGTCGGGGCCCTCCTGGGCGGGAAGGCCGAGCTGCGCGACCACCTTACGCTCACCACGCGTTTCCTCTTCGGGCTGCTGAGCGCTGAGCGGATGCGCGACATTGAGCGCCACTTCGGCTGCGTGGTCTCAGAGCGCGTGAAGCAAGAAGCCCTGCGGTGGGTGCAGGGGCAAGGCCGCTCCATGGCGGCGCCAGAGCGGACCGAGGAGACTGAGGGACTCGAGGGGGCTGAGGAGCCGGAGGAGGAGGACGACGAGGAGGAGCTCAACTACCAGCTGGAACTGCTGTACTGCCTGTACGAGACGCAGGAGGACGAGTTCGTGCGCCAGGCTCTGCGTGGCCTGCCCGAGCTGGCGCTGGAGCGAGTGCGCTTCAGCCGCATGGACCTCGTGGTCCTGAGCTACTGCGTGCAGTGCTGCCCGGCGGGACAGGCGCTGCGGCTACTCAGCTGCCGGCTGAGTGTGCTGCAGGAGAAGAAAAAGAAGAGCCTGGTGAAGCGGCTGCAGGGCAGCCTGGGAGGCAGGTGAGTCTCCGCAGAGGGCTGCCCTGTGGGTCTGATGGCGCTGTGCGAGGTGTGTGGGCGGCCTGTGGGTGTGGCACAAGTGTGCACCGAGTGCCCTCCTGGTCATGGGGACGGTGTCCACACTCAAGGCTCCTAGGGCTGTTTTTGCCCACCCTCTTGCCAAGCAGCCCCCATCTCCCCCAGGATTTTTTTCTCCATGCCCACCCTCCCAGCATTTACCTGGCTCTGGCCCAAAGCCCTCTTTCTCCCCACATTATGCTTTCTCAGCCTAAGTCCTAGAGTTCCACGCTCAATGCTCCAGGTGGCTGTGCCTGACGCACTCTCCCTCCACCCAGAACACCTTCGGCTTTTGGCCGGGCCTCGGAGCCTCGCCTGGCTCCCCCAGCTGGCCTGGGACCCCTGGACCCACAACTGCCCCACGACCACCTGCCCATGGTCTCTTCCACTAGACCCTCAGCTCCCCCAAGGCAAGGCCATGCTCCCTTTCTTACCTGACGCAGGCGCTCAGCATCTGTTAGAGAATGAATATCAGGACATGGTCAGAGGCCGGGTCCAGGGAGAGACAGACCTGCATGTATCATGCACCTGGGGAAGGGGGTGGCACGGGCCACAGAGGGCTTTCGTCTGGATTTGGAGGGGCGTGGGGGGCCAATGGGGTATATCCAGGACCAGGTAAGGAGGGAGGGGCTGGAAGGGGCCAGGTGCTCTTCACCTTCCTCTTTCCCCCAGGAATTCTGGAGGCAGCTCGAGACAACCAGCAGCCTCCCCACTGCGTCCGCTCTTGGAGGCCATGACTGACCCACACTGTGGTCTAAGCCGCCTGATGTGAGTGACCACGCCTCCTCCCGTGCCCCCCGCGGAGGGGACTCAGGGCAGTATGCCCTGGGGGTGGGGACAGCAGTGGGGCCTTGTCTGCAGGAGGCTGCGAGTCTGTGATTCTGGGGTCTGCGGCTGAGGGCACCAGACTCCACCCACAGAGAGCAGAGACAGCGTGAGGGAGGGCGCTGGCGGGGGCTCCAACCCCAGGTTAGGGCCAGTAGGAAGGAAGGTGTGGCCCTGGTTTGAGCGGGAAGCGGGGTGCGGCTAAGCCTTCTAGGGGAGGGCGATGAAGACCCGAGCGTATTTTCCTTCCCAAAGGAAGGCTGCTAAGTGCAACTGGAAACTGCTGGGCAATCCCTCTGGATTCTTAGTAGCAATGGAGGAAGGCGTTCAGGGTGCAGGTTCGGAGGCCAGGCTCCCTGGAACTCCTGGGTGACCCTGGGCAAGTCAGTCTGTCTCAGCCTCAGTTTCCTCCTCCGTAAAATGGAGCCAAAAGATTCTACCTCAGAGGGTTGATGGCCACAATTCAAAAGCTAAACTAAATACAGAAAGATATTCATGCAGCATTATTGACAATGGCACGAAAGTGGAAACAACACAACTGGCCAGCCTTTAGAGACTGACTAGACACACGAAAGGAGCCCTGGTGGCGCACTGGTTAAGCACTTGGCTGCTAACAGAAAGGTCCGCAGTTCAAAGCTGACCAGCTGATCCTTGGGAGAAGGATGTGGCAGTCTGCTTCGGTAAAGATTATAGCCTTGGAAACCCCACGAGGCAGTTCTACTCTGTCCTATATTGTCGCTATGAGTCAAAATCAACTCGACGGCAACGAGTTTGGTTTGGTTTTAGATACACTAAGGTGTGTCTGGTTAAAGCGATTGCCTGCTAACCAAAAGGTCCGTGGTTTGAAACCACCCAGGGCTCCATGGGACAAAGCTGTGGCAGTCTGCTTCCACAGAGATTTACAGCCTCGGAAACCCTACGGGTCACTTTGAATCAGAATTGACTTGACGGCAGTGGGTTTTAAGGCATGTCGAAACCTACAGTAGGTCTGTATGGGGCCATCAAAGGCCCGGGCAGGATATTGTCCTGCAGGAGGAGTGGACCATGGTGCACGGTGGGGGCAGAAGGCATGCAAACCCATGTGCTTCTTGACCGCAGGCTCTCCTGTTGCAAGCTCCCAGACATGGTCTGCCGGGACCTGGCTGAGGCCCTGAAGGCGGCCCCTGCCCTGACTGAGCTGGGCCTCCATCACAACAGTCTCAGCGACGTGGGCCTGCGGGTGCTGTGCGAGGGGCTGGCCTGGCCCAGGTGCCGAGTGCAGACACTCAGGTGAGGCCCTGCCAGGAGGGGCGGGGGGTAGGGAGGCCCAGAGCCCCTCCTGAGACTGGCCTCCCTCAGGGTGCAGCAGCCTGACCTCCAGGAAGCGCTCCAATACCTGATCGGCCTGCTCCGACAGAGCCTGGTGCTGACCACCCTGGACCTCAGTGGCTGCCAGCTGCCAGGCCCCACCATGACCTACCTGTGCTCAACCCTGCAGCAGCCAGGATGCAGGCTGAAGACCCTCAGGTGCAGGCAAGGGGCATGTTCTGGAGATGCAGCCTGTCCACCCTGGGGGGTTGGGGGGCTTTACCTGGGCCCTGAAAAGGAGCCCTGCCCAGGGACCCCCGAGGGACCACACTCAAATGCCATCTGGGAGGTCAGCCACAGAGACCCTGCCTCAGAAGTCCTGGCCCTCAGCCCCTGTCCTATTCCCAAGTCTCTGACAACCTCCCTGACTGACCAGCTATCTGTCCTGTGGGCCTTAGGTCACAGCCTGGGCCTACAGTCCCCCGACTGCTCCCCCAGTTCCGGTCCTCTGCCCCCCTCCAGCCCTGCCCGCTCCGGGCCTTGGAGCCTCGCCTGGCTGCCCCAGCCGGCCTGGGACCCCTGGCCCCACAAGGGTCCTCTGCCCTCCTGTGGGATGTGCCCCCACCCCACTCCTCAGGCCCAGGCTCTTGCCTTCTCTCCTCATTATTCCCCTAGACCCCGCCCTCTCCCCCACCTGACTACCCCTCTGTCCTGTCCACACACGACTGCAGTCTGGCCTCCGTGGAGCTGAGTGAGCACTCGCTGCAGGAGCTGCGGGCTGTGAAAATGGCAAAGCCAGGTCTGATCATCACACACCCTGGGCTGGAGGATGAAGCAGACTCTCTCGGAGGGGTCAGCAGTGCCCTCTGAGGCCCTGAAGGTCGGCTATGGGACAGCGGCTCCATAATCAGAGCCCCACATGCAGGATGTTGTGCTCAGCCTTGGGCAGCTCTTCAGAGCCCAAGTGGTCCTGGGCTGGTGGACAAAGGGACACGGACAGGCCCTGGGACATACACCTCCAGCCCTCACCCAGGGTCTCCTCCTCCCCACCTCTTCCTCTCCTGGGGCCCTCAGCCATCCGCCTTGCAGA